CAGCATCTACTGTGCAGTCTTCTAGGAGGACAAATTTGGATGGGGCAGGGGGGAATCTGCAGTGTTACAGAGCTGTGTTTACCGATGGGCTTCATCTCACTGGCTGCTGTGAACTTTTCTTTTTAGGTAATACGAGGAAACAGCATCATTATGTTAGAAGCCTTGGAACGAGTATAGAACCAGTGAAACCCGCTTAGTGACAGTGTGTGCAACATGTGGGATGACCCCTGTGTGTGTGCAGCATGTTGGGCTGTGATGGGACCTAACTCTACTATTTTGTGTACTCAGTTAAATCCTCTACAAACCATACATCACTTGTGTAAACTTATTTTTTGTTAAATAAATTTTGTAATGGTTGAAGTAACTTGAGTGAGTTGTACCTGTTGTTATGCTGCTAGCGCAACAGATTTATTATTATTTGATAGCCTTAAAACTCTGAAAAACTTCCAGGGGCTTGCTTTCTTCAAGCGGGTGGAAAATAGGCTTGTCCTTGCAGCAGGTGACACGCACAGTTTCACAATATTGGCATTAATTTTGGTCCTGTATTCCTCTGCCCTCTTGTGGCAAGCAGGCTATTAGGCTTCTTTTACACTATCAGTGTAGTGGCAAGGGCTGGAGCATTTGTCTTATTAAAATATTTGTGACAGCAACTTGACTACGATCTGCAACCCCGATGTGAGGTATTGCTATTTTGGGTTATTTCAGTTGCCCCGTGCAGTGCAAGGGGTAGAGTAGACTGAGCAAAGCATGGGGCTCTGTAGTACTGGTACACTTGTAGAAGGTTTAAAGCATTCAAACAAGACTAGAGCTTATGGCGAGTCTAGTAATAGCGCCACACATAATTTAGACATTAAGTGCTGCAAAAGGAGCACTAAACAATCCCTCAGGCTCTCTGCTACTGAGGAAAACTAGTTCCCTAGGCTGGAGGGATTTGGGGGTGGGTTGGGTGCTGACACTGGCAGATGTGCTGCAGCAGGTACTCTGGCCTCCAGTGCAATTTCTGTCTGCCTCTGTTGAAGCCCTTGTCTACCCCTTCCCATCCCCCCTCTCCTTTTGTTTATCCCATTATGTGTCACTGCAGTTCATGTGCGTTTGTCCCAGACTTAAGGGACTAGTTTTAATGAACAGCTTAAAACTCGTACAGATAATTGCTAGAGTGAGATTCCCAGGTCACCATGTGACTCTTGGAAGCTCAGAGGCATCCTCAGCTGTCCTTGCCCCATACCTCTGTCACTATCATTTAAAGGGCACGAGGCTTCTTACCTGTTTGAACTGAAGCTCTTGGACAACTTGGCTGTTTGTTGCAGCACAAAGCAAAGCCTGCAGGGGACACCCAGGAGCTGAAGAAGCCTGACTTTTCATAAATGAGGCAGATAGAAATTGGCCTTACAGATGTGTCTTTGTGGACAAAGAACTCCCACTTACAGGGCGTTGCTGACAGGGATGTTCTCTGTCGTGTTACCGCATTTTTAACAAAGAGGCGCTAAGCGCTTTGCCCAGAGCCCTTAAGGGCTCCAGCTAACTGCAGCCCTTCAGAGAAGGGTAACTGGAAGGCTTTGGGCAGAGCATAAACACTTTCTCAGGAGTTCTGAGAAGACAAAGCCCAAGTTCTTTGTCATGTGTTATGTATAGCACTGTAGATGTACAGTATGTATGAGGTACTGATGAATCAAAATATTTAGTTTGCTTTTCAGAGTTCACTAACTGCAAGTAATGAGTGACCCAGAAGCATGAAGCCTTTGAGCCATCTGAAAGGAGGTGAGCTACTTATGCAAGCTGTGAAATAAGCAGGAGTTTGATTACCACACACATTGGTCCAGTAAATTAGCTAGAACTTTGCTTGCACAACAACAAAGCAGGTGTGACTTAGCTGCAAGAGCTTAAGCCAGCCTGCAGCTACCCAGGGGAGAGATTCAGCCCGTCTTTTTGTTCGGCCGCTTAGCTGTGATTGGAAGTGTTCATCTTTCCCAGCCTAACCAGCTCTCAGCCATGCTACCAGAGGCTTGTTCATGGTTCTCCCACCGAGGCAGGCAGCTGAGGAAGGAAGGTGGCAGCTCTGAGCAGGTACAACCTCACCCCTGCAGCCAGCCAAGGGAGAGGGACAATTGCTGTTTTCCTCTCCCCCACTCAGAGATAAATTACTACCGAGCAACTGGTCTGTGATTGACACCGGCACGTTAACAATGCTTTACTTACTTCAAGTCTTCTTCAGTTTTATTAGTGTAGTGCTGGTCGTGGGACATTAAGGATGCTGCTAGGCAAAGTTGGAGTCAGCACAAAACTCCACCAATAAAGGTGGATGGTTGAGCAGCAGACAGAAGCTCTGTGGGACAAGGCAACATGAGTAACAAAGACTTACAGCATCTCAGGGCAACAGCTTTAGGTTACTTTCAGGACCGTGCATTAATTTTATTTGTAAGAAAACCACTACAGTGTGCTATATCTTCAGACAAGGTTGAGGTACAGCAGCAATGTCAGATACAATATTCTCAAGGAAGTTTTACCTATAACCTAGTTGTGCCCTCCTATAGTTTCAGATCATCTAACAAGATGTGTCTTATAGCTTGAGAAAGTGAAGAACATCCTGTGCCTTTGCTTACTTACCACCCATTTTGGCAACTCATGCACTTCCTTAAACAGAAGCAAGCCCCTCCCCACTCCCCCCAAGTTAGGCTACTTGTTCTGGAAGCAAGTAAGAATGCATCCATTATTTCCACTGCACCAGTCCCATCCCGAGAAAGTTACTTGATATACTCTTAAGAAAATAGTTGAAGACAGAGTTACAGTGTAAAGACACCACTTTTCCCTGACTGGAACACACCCAGGGAGGGAAAGCTCCATGCCCAGGTCTAGAGGAGCAAGGCTCAGTTAATCACAGTGACACAGATCCTGAGTTTGGCAGTCTTCTTATTGTGAAGGGCACTTAGGCTCAATAATGGTGCTGAAAACATTTTTATAATCTTATAGGGAGAGAATGAAGAATTTGCATGAGGAAGGGCCAGCTCACTTGGGAAAGGTTCCTCTTCCTTTTCACTGCTGATCTAGGCCACTGGTGCCCATCTGTCTTCAGCTGGTTGGATGTTTCTTCCTCCCTGGAAGAGTTCCTCACTTACCAGTTTTAGTTGTGGCTAGATTGCTACAGTATGTGATCTATATTTCTGGATGTTGTAGTGTTGCACAGCAGAGCAGCCTGGATGCTCTAGTGAGCCAGTGGCATTTGACTGCCAGGAGCTCAAAGCTCCGTTTTCAGTTTCTCATGCAAGTCTTCCTGGTCGATCTTGTCCGTGTTCCCATACCACTGGTGGTAAGCAAGCAGCGCTGCATTTTTGGCTGCTATAGCACTCATCTCCATGGCACTTGCAGCCCACTCAATGCCATTGAGGTAGTATATTCTGTCATGGAGGATCACAGGTGGACATTTTTCAGGGGGGCTGTAGTGGGGGTATGCCAGCCACTTCTTCACTTTGACAGAGTCATAGGAAGAGAAAAGCAAGTTAAGCTGCTCTTTGGTGAGCGGTTCTCTTGAAAACACCTTCCAGACAGCTGATCGCAAGGGTAGCTTTCCTTCACTGGGTGTGTCTTCAGCAGGCGAAACAAACCCCCGGCAGTTTGGGATTCTCTGTAGTGAGGATGGCACCAAAGTGAAAGGCAGATGGGTCCTGGTAGCCAAAGAAGGAAGCATTCAAGCGCCCATGCACAAATGTTGCTACGGTCTGATGGTAAGGACTTGAGAACTCTGGAATAGGAGGGTTAAAATTCCTGAAGGTGATGTTGGACATTTTGCGGTTCAGTGGAGCTGCGATGATAACAATGTCATACATGTCTGCTGATGATCCCGATGTAGAGTTGTAGGTGACATAGTAGAGCTTAACCGTGTCCCCTGGGGAGAAGGGCAGGAAGGAGGAAGAGCTCAGGTTATCCTGCTCCATTGCTGGAGGAATTCCTGTTCCTCCCAAGACACAGGGCTTTTCTATTCCATCCTATTCAGGCTAGCTATATCTTTTTGCGAGCTGAAGCTTTTTTCAAGTACTACAAGCTTAGCTGACCGAGTGCTGCGACCTAAGGCCTTGAACAGAGACCAGTTTTCATTTGAAGAGACCCAAGAAAACCCAGACCGTTGCTTTGGTCAGCCAGGAGCTGCAGCCGAGCAGTGACACAGGCTGTAAGTCAGCCCCTAGCTGCAAGAGGTCACCGTTTTCCTCCACCCCAAGCAGGAAGCAAAGGCGACTCACCTGCAGAGTTTGGTCTTGTTTTTGGCTCTATAGACAAAACTGTGCCAGGGATAAGTTGTGCTTTGGCAGCATAGATAAGGCCAGTGCAGACAAGTTTATTTCCTCCCTTTACTGCCCAAAGGCCAGATTCAACCCCTGCCAGAGCAACAGCACCTACAAGGAAACCAAGGCCGTTAAACCTCCTTGTGCAGTGTCATTCTGTAGGGGAGCACTTGAAACAGGAATAGGAAATTAGGGAGAACATACCCCATTGGGACAGACAGCTTGCTTAAAGACAGGGCTACTAGGTCACAGCAGCAAGTAGTTGCTTGTTTGTCAGAAGACCACAGTAGCCCAACAAGGGAGGGCACTGCTGAACAGCAGAAGCAGTGACTTTGGCCAGAGGGACTACATAGGTCCCTGCCAAGATCTGCCCGAGCTCTAGGAGCAAGAATCCTAACCAACACAGGTGTCTCCTGTGGAGCCCTAGGACAGATGTAAACCCCTTTTACAAGGGGGAGACACTCTTAAGCACTCACCTACAAAACCATTTATGTTGACACCTTGCCCATAATTGACTCTCATGGCTGGACAAACTACCTCATTTATGAACTTATGGGAGAAGCCAGCTTTCTGCATGGATTCATCAATGGTTTGATTCAGCATTTGGGTGAAGTCATTCCCGCCGAGGGCGTGAAGTAAACGCTCGTTGCTGCTGAAGGTGTAGTCGTGCGTCTGGTACCGATAGATTCTTGAACCAGAGACAAGGAAATACATTCACACCAGCTGCAGAACATATGCACTAGCCAAGCCTCTCTTGAGGTATCCTCTTGAGATAAGTGTTAAGTGCTGGTTGGTTGCCTTTGTCACCCTCCGAAGCTCAAGACAACCTCACAGTGCCTTCCGGGGCTACTACTTCATAGGACCTCGCTGCCTTTCCCAAGGGCGGCAAGGCTCATCCTTTCAGGTAGTCCTAGCCGAAGTGGTAACAGGCCTAGGAAGACCTCATCTTTATCACTTCTCTAACTTCTCCTAGTGAAGGAGCACTCTGTGCCCCATTACAAATTTAATTCTCCTTAAGGACCCAGATACTAGGCTGATTGAACATCCCATAGCAAACACTTTCTAGACACTTCATTGGCTTCCAGCCACAAAGCAGACTCTCTTACCGCATAAACTTGTCCAAGATGTCCTCAACCCACATGTACATGCGCAGGGGATTGAGTCCATACCGCCAGAGAAGTTTGAGAACGTTGATTACGTACCAGCTACTCTCCTCAAACACAAACTCCTCTCCATTATAAATGCCCACGAGGCTGCCGTGGCCTGGGGCAACAGGGAGGCCTAGAGGAAGGGGGGGGGGAAAATAAATATACTACAAAAGGTGCAGCTTGCTTTGAGCTAATCTGTTGTACTTTGATTTTTAAGCTAGGAAACTAACTCTGACAAGGGCAGTAGTTCTGAGTGAGCAGATAAGAGTTTGCTCCCAGGGTAGAGAGGGAATTGGATTTTGAGCCAGAGCCACACAGTCATTAGAAGCGACTTCTGAACTTTTCCAGCAGGATTACCTTGACGGGAGTCAGTAAGGCGGGAGGCCGATAGCAGCACGCGCTCACCCTTGTCCTTGGCACC